CTGGGCAGACCGCCCATTCCGCTGAAACCCGTCAGGAGCGGAGCCGGCTTGGCGGCGGGCTGCTTGGCGGCAGCGGCGGCGGCCTTCTTTTCCGCCTTGAGGCGCAGCTTTTGGTCGCGCTTGGCGCGCTGGCGCTTGGCCTCCTCGGCGGCGGCGGCGCTCGTCATGGCGGGCTTGAAGGGGGCTCCGTCGAGAGACATACGGAACGTGGCAAAGGGGGAGAGGGTGGCGGCGGCGGTGGCGGGTCGGGTCGAGGTGCGAGAAGAGACGAGGGTGACGGTGCTAGAGTTGGTCGAGTACGAGGTCATTGTTATTGTCGTGCTGGCTTGGTTGGCTGACTGGCTCTGGGCTGGTATGGTTGCTGAGGACCTCGAGGGTTGTGGTAGGACTGTGAGTGTGAGTGAAGGTGTGGGATGATGAGCAGAGACATGGTGACGACGTTGCCAGGCCCGCCTTTATACGTTGCTCGCACCGAGCGACGGCGGCGGCGGGATGGTAAGCTGCCGATGGCTACCGGAGGTGAGCATAGCGCAGGATGGCCATACGGGCGGCGAGTCACTACCACGTCATACGGACTCGCGCCGGTGGCAGCTGACCCGCCGTGGGTGCCAGCATCGCTACCGCATCCTCGGGGTGAGGGTCGCCCCGAAGGGGGTGTGAAGCGGGCGGGGCGAGATGTCAACAAACGTCTGCGGCCGGCCATGCGGAAGGAGAGCGAACGACAGGGAACTCGAGTCGTCCTGGGGCCGGTACAGTGGACGTGGCGGGCGGGCAGGCAGGCAAGGCAAGGCAAGGCAAGGCAAGGCAAGCAACAGTCCGTGTGCGCGCGATGGTGATCACGGGCGCTAGCGCTCCGCCCTGCTCTGGAACGATGCTGCCCATCTTCGAGTCACCGAAGGCCTACGGGGTCCTCTCCATTCCAGGGAGTATCATTTCGATGCGGCCCGCAACGACGGGGGGCGGCAGACAAAAACGTGGCGGCGACTCGGTTCGGATGTAAGCAAGCAAGCAAGCCAGCAGAGAATATCCGACGTTGTGCTGGCCGTCGATTGTCGTTGTGATTGATCTGTGGTGGGAGCCGAGGAGAGGGGCTCAAGGAGTCAAGGTACGATGACACCCTGCATCGAGACGAGGGCTGTCGGAGCGAGCGCCGGCTGGGAGTGGCGCGCAGTAGGGGCTCTTTTGGCCGGGCGGGTAGCCGGGTAGTGGGGCCAGTTCTGCCAGTAGCTCTGTATCGGAGATTGGCATCAGATGTCAAGCTAAGGCAGGGTAACGAGGGGGACCCTGTGAAAGGGTCGGCCAGGCCTGGCCGGGCAGCGTCGATGGCGCGCTGTCCGGTCGGTACGTGTTGGTCTTGGCCGTGGAGCGGGGGCGGGGGGCAGACATCTGTTCATGCGGGGGTGGAGGTACACTTCTCGTGATGGCCAGTAGAATGGTCGCGCGCGCCGAGGTGACCGTCAAAACCGTGACGAGTCACCGTACGGTACGGAGGACATGCATTGTATGCTGGGAGCTGGCGGTGGCGCCATCCTTGGCAGGTGACTCGATATCGCCGAACCGAGGCGGGGAGAGGTGGAGCGGCGACAGCGCAGCCCACCGCGGCCGACGCCCGAGTCACGGGCACCCTGGCCTGCCTGCCTGTCGGCCACGTGGACTTTGCCGCCGCCGGCTCCCCGCCAGCCGGGCATGCCTCTTGGCTTGGCTGGCTTGCTTGTCGCTGCTATCTCCGCCATCAGCTACCTGGCCACGTCATGGCATGGGAAGCGTCAATGATCACCTTGCTTGGCTTTGCTGGATGGCACATGGGCACCCACTGCTGCTGCTGCTACATGGCACTCGCCACCACAACGCACGTTCAAGAATCGCTGCGGCGCATCCCCCGGCATGCCCAAGTTCCACCCAGAAATCCGCGCACCCGCTATCTTCTTGATATAGCGACAATCCGTCGCGTCTCGACATCCTCCCCGAGCTTAGCTCAGGTGGCAGAGCGATGGTCTGTAAGCGTGGCTTCGAAAGGAAACGATCACCATAGGTCACCAGTTCGACCCTGGTAGCTCGGAGCAAGTCTTTTTTGATGTCCTCGCCACGTCGCTCGATCTGCTCAGACTACCAGCGGGCGGGCTAACACACGAACGGGGGCTGGAAAAGGCAGCTTCGATTTTTTGGCTACAGGACACGCGGCGCTGTGCGGTGCGGCGGGGCGCGGCGGGATCGACGGGGAAGCTGGCTCGAATAGCAAGACGTGGTGGGCTGCGCGGGTCGTGGGCGAGCGGGAAGGGGAGGGTGGAACGAGGCGGTATGCATACGAGCGGACGGATACGACAATGACCTGATCGACGACGGCGTAGGGGCAGGGCAGGAGGGGAAAGGAGGGGAGGTACGAGGGGGGGGAAAGACATGCGAGGACCGCTCAGTGGCCCTTTGCCGTGAGCTTGGCCTTGGCCAGGTTGGCCTCTCCGGCCTTCATGAGGATCTTCTTGTACTGCTGGATGCCAATGTCCTGCTTGGTCAGGTTGACAATCTTGCGGTCCTTGACCTCCCACAGCTCCTCGGCCACCTGCGAAATGAGGCGGAAGTCGTGCGAGACAATCACGACGCCACCCTCAAACTCCTTGATGGCCAGCGCGAGGGCGTCGATCGAGCCCATGTCGAGGTGGTTGGTGGGCTCGTCGAGCAGCAGGATGTGCGGCTGCTCCATGGCCAGCTGCGAGAAGACGACGCGGTTCCGCAGGCCGTCGGAGAGCGTCCGGATCGGCGACGTCTGGTGGGCGCCCGACAGGCCGAAGCGGCCCAGCTGCCCGCGCCAGAACTGAAGCTCCTTCTCCGGGTACTTTTCCTTGTACTTGCTCTCCATGTACTCGAGCGGCGACTTGTCGTACGGCAGCTGGTCGGCCGAGTGCTGCGAGTACTTGCCCAGCTTGAGGCCGGCGTGCCTCTGCACCGATCCCTCGACCGGCTGCAGCGCGCCCGTGATGAGGTTGAGCAGCGTCGACTTGCCCGTACCGTTCTGGCCCACGATGGCCACGCGCGAGTCCATGTCGATACCAAAGTTGAGGTCCTTGTACAGGTAGTCCTCGCGCTTGCCGCTGTACGAGAAGGCCACCTCGTTGAACGCGATGATCGGCGGCGGCAGCTTGCGGATGTCCTCGAAGTTGAAGCGGAGCAGCTTGGGCTGGATGACGGGCTCAATGAGGCCGGCCGCCTCCATCTTGTCAATGATCTTCTGCTTCGACTTGGCCTGCTTGACCAGGTTGGCGTAGGTACCGGCGCTGGCGATGAACTTCTTGATGTGCGCAATCTCCTCCTGCTGCTTCTGGTACGCCTTCATCTGGTTGACCTCGTTCTCCTGCTTGGTGCGGACGTAGGTGCTGTAGTTGCCTCCGTACGTCAGGAACTTCTTCTGCAGCGTCAGGTCCATGATGTTGGTGCAGATCGAGTCCATAAAGTCGGCCGAGTGCGACGTGAGGACGAGGATGTGGTTGTAGGTCGACAGGTACGCCTCGAGCCAGACGACGGCCTCGAGGTCCAGGTGGTTGGTCGGCTCGTCGAGCAGCAGCAGGTGAGGCTTGAGGAAGAGCGCCTTGCCGAGCGTGCAGCGCATCCTCCAGCCACCGGACATGTCCTTGGTCGGCTTGCGCATCATCTCCTGCGAGAAGCCGAGACCGTGCAGGATCATGCCGGCCTTGGCCTCAAACGTGTTGGGGTCGAGCTCCTCGAGCTCCTCGTACTTGAGCTCGAGCGCGAGGTCGTCGACCTCGTCGGCGACCGAGAGGTCCTCAATCTCCTTTTCCAGGCGCGCCACCTTCTCCTTGGCCGAGGCGATGATGTAGTCGAGCGCGTTGACGTCCGAAGGCTCGGCCTCGCCCTGGACGAGGTGGATGTCGATGTGCTCGGGGATCTCAATGTCCCGGTCGTTGAGCGCCTGCAGGAAAGTCGTCTTTCCTGCACCGTTCTCGCCGAGCAGGCCGTACCTCTGGCCGTAGTTGAGGCTGATGGTGGCTGTGTCGATGAGCAGGCGGCCGTGGAACGACATGGTGAAGTTCTCGATGTGGATGTCGCGGCTCTGCTTGTCGCTGGTCAGCACACCCGAAGCGTTCCTGTCGCTCTTGAGCGCCATCCTCTTGAGGTCGAGGTCGTCGACCGAGGTGTTGGTCGAGAGGTTGGTCATGGGCGTCGAGGCCGAGGTGTCGGTGGTGCCCTTGGAGGAGCCCTTAGACGAGGCCTTGGCGGCCTTCTCGCTGTGGGTCGGAGGGAAGGCAAACAGGCAGACGGACAACAAGGTCTGTCAGTCAACTGGGCCATTCTCTCGCCAAATAGGCCGAGAATCTCTAGCCTTGGACGCTGCGGGCCGGAGTGCCTGCGGACACTCACGCCTGGCGCTTAGCCTTGGAAGCAGAAACCATTTTGGATAAAGAGTGTGGCGGGGGAAGCGACTGTGGTTGGGAAGCGACGCGGTGGTGCTACTCAGATATACCAGAGAGCCGAGTAGGTCGGAGGGTATATCGTGCGAACCAGAGTCGTGCTGTGGTCGAGACAGTCGCAGGGCAATCGATGCTGCGAACAGAGGCGCCCTGGGGGTGGCGAAGTCGATGTGTGTAGGCGGTGGTGCTGGAAACGAGCCACGACCGACGGAGATGATGAGGGATGGGGACGGGTGAGGGTTAGGTTGTGGTCGAGAGGCAAGGTTGCGGCTGGGGTCGGCACTCGGTTTCGAGGTTTGCAGCCTGCCTTGATCGATGGACCTGCTCAGCTGTCAGACCAACCTGCTGCGCGCTGTCCCAGCTCTCTTTCTCTCTTCCTGCTCGCCTCCCTGCCCGCTCCGCACGAAGCTACCCTGCTTAGCCTGCTGCTTCTCGGCCTGGGCGGGCGTCGAGGCTCGAGCGTACTGCGTGCCTTGCCGTGGTTCTTCGCTCCCTCGCTCTCCTGCGCCGTCACCCAGCAGCAGCAGCAAGCAGCAAGCACAGCGGCGGCGGGTGGCGAGCCAGGCTTCACAAGGCGCTGCAAACTGACGCTGGTCCGGGCCATCCGCCCTCGCCTGTGTGATCGTGCGCCCGAAAAATTCTCCCCCCAGGGAAAAATTTCGAGCCACACCGGCCTAGCAGCGGGCGGGGGGCGCGCCTGCCGTTGACCAGGCTGGGAGCGAGAAATTTTTCGCGCAGCGAGCGAGGGGTGTGACCTCGAGCTGCAGCAGGGAGCCAGCCTTCGTCTGGCGGGCTCAGTCCCCCGCGGGGCCTCTCTCTCTCTCTCTCTCGCTTTGTCACGATTTGAAAGCAACGACCCTATCGCATCTCGGAACCGCCCGAAAGCGGCCGGGTCACCCTTTTTCGCGGAGCAGGCACGGCGCACGGCGAGAGGCAGCGGCATCAGCAGCAGCACCCTCCCTCCGCCGACGCTCACACACCTTCACACCTTCGTCACCCGCATACACGCCACATCGCGCACCGACACTGCCGCCATGTTCAAGCCGACGCCGTCTCTGTGCTCCAAGGCGAGCCGGTTGCCGCTCACCTCCAAGAAGGGCAACCGCGACTTCTTCAAGGGCACCCGGACGGGCAACATCATGCGCCGCAAGAGGATCGCCACCTCTGACCCTGCCGGACGGCAGCTGTACGACAAGAACGGCAGGGAGCTCAGCTGGACCATCAAGACGCACCGCATCGACGAGGCCAGAGTGCCTTCCTACATTGTTCCTCCGGGACTGGCAGAGACCAAGGTGAGCGGCTTGCCTCGGCCCGGCCTGGCCTAGCCCGTGCTGGCCCATGGGCGCAAGGAAAGGCGAACCTGCCATCTGCTCGCGGGCGGGCGCTTCCACGTCCGACGTGTGCCCTTCCGCCTCATTGCGACGTCCCCGCTGATCCGCTTGTCCCTGACCCCTCTGGCTGCCTCCACTACGAACTCCCAGCTGCGACCCTACGTCTTCATCGGCGACGCAAGCGACGGCGGCGTATCGAGCAAGGACAAGATCGGCATGCCCAACTACCCCAAGATGGACCAGCACGGCTTTGACGGCACCTACTACCGCAGCATCATCAACGAGATGCTCCAGAAGCGACGCATCCGCGAGCGCCAGGACGAGGACAAGAGAATAGCGGAAGCCGTCCGCCAAAAGTAGACGCGCGTCTAGCTCAGCCAGCATCGCTGCCGCCTCCCCTCCCCTCCTCGGGTCCACGTCCCGTTCCCGGACTCTCTCTGCCCTTGGCCATGCGAATCGCTCTGCACCACCTCCATCACTCCCTGCTGCTCGTCGTCGCCGCAGCAAGTCAGTCACAGCTTCCTCTCATCCCCCGGCGTTGTCTCCGCGTCCCCCTGTACTTTAGCTCCCCATATTCCAACCCACGCCAACAACGCATTTGCATCTCTACATCTGTGAAAGCAGCCCCAGAATCGAGATCAGCAAAAAGCAACACACCTCAGCAGTCGACAGCGTCTCCCTGTCCAACCCGAATGGGGCCATAGCAAAAAGTCATGACAAGAGTGGGATTCGAACCCACGCCCGAAGATAGCAGATTGCCCCTCGCTGGTGCGAGGTATCTTCCTTAATGCTACGCCTTAGACCACTCGGCCATCTTGCCCCGTCATGCAAAGGCGGCGATCTTTTGCTGATGACAACTAGGCGATTCTGCTGAAGAGTCGAGGCTCGATTCGCGAAGGACTCGACAGGTTGCATAGCGAGCGGCACTACCTGGCAGCGCGGCGGGGCGAGGGGTATTGTGTTTCTATTCGCAAACGGCGTGCATGCAGCGGATGGCGAGCAAGAGTGGGAAGCGGGAGCGTACAGAGTGTGGCCGGAGGCACGGGTGCGGTCACGACTGGCCGGACTGATCACTACGGCTGCGACTCGTCCTGCTGGGCGGGTGCCGTGGACAATGTCGACGCTTCTCCCTGTTGCTGTTGTTGCTGCTGCTCGACGTCCTCCGTCTGCTGCTCCTTCTGCTCGACCTGGTCCACCCCTGTATCTGCCTGCTGCTCGCCGTTCCGCTCAGCGGCCTGGTCTTCCGCGACGCTGTCGAATCCAGCTTGTCCCGCTGCAGCGCCTCCGCCCACGTCACCGCCCTGGTGAGTGGCGCCTGCGCTCGAGCCTCTCCTCGCCTGTAGCGGTGGCGGCTCGGATGCGGCAGAGGTACCCCGGCTGCGCGGCAACGAGCCCATCCGCGAGGCTTTCGTTGTCGGCCCGGCCTCGGTTGATGAGGGCGAGTGGCCCGACTGCGAGCCGATCACGTACTTGAGCAGGTCGCTCAAGCACAGGATCCCCACCAGCTTGCCGCGCGTGCGTCGGATCGGGTCTCCCTTCTCCAGACGGTCATCGAGGGACAGGGTGGGGTCGTTGACGATCGCCTCGCGGCGCTTGCGCTCCTTTGTTGCCTCGTCCTCCACGTCCTCGAGGCCTTCGTCGGAGTCGAAGTCGTCGAGGCCATCTGCACTGCTCTGCTTCTCGCCGTTCGCGTCGCTGGCTGATGCGGCATCGGAAGCTTTGGAGCCATCGTTGCCTCCGCCCCGGGGATCCGGGCCTTCCGGCTCGAGGATCAGCCAACGATGCACCCTCCTCTTCCGCAAGAGCGCGAATATGTTGGCCAGGCTGTCCTCCGGGGAGCAGGTCCAGATACCCCCGAAATCCGGCGGCCGCCGTTCGAGCGCTTGCCGGATGGTAAGGTCGAGTGCCTGGTACGCACCAGTGCGAACCAGAGTCTATCCCAGCGTCGGAGAGGGGGGTCAAGGGGCTCAGCTGTAGATCCATTGAGCTGGTCTCCGCCTTGCAGGCCGCGTACTCACGATGACATCGACGGTCTCGTACATGTCCACGACGTAGCCTTCCTCGTCCAGGATGGGTACCGCGCTGATACCCCGCTCGCTGAACATGTGGACGACATCGAACACCGTCGTATCAAGCGTCGCCGTTGCGAGCGGGTAGTGCGGATCCGTGGACTGAAGCGCCGAGACAGGGGACTGCATCAACGGTTCCGGGCCGAGGCTCGCGCCTGCTCCGCCGCCACTGCCACCGGCAGCTTCAACACTGTCGGGCGCCAAGGGCTCGGGCTCGGCGGGCTGCGTAGGCTCGATCTCGCTCATGGACATGACGGGACCATGCTCGGATCGAACCAGGCGCGGCTCGGATGCGTCGGAGCCACGATGGGAGGCTGTTCCGGAGCCGGGAGCTCGACTCCTGGATGCTTTGTAGGCGTGCGAGTAGGTGCCGATGCCGAGGGAGCGAAGAGATCGCCACAGACCGGCCGTCTCGCGGCAGTTCATGGCGATGAACTTGAGCACTCGGTACTGGGTCAACACACTGACGACCGCCTCGAGCCCAGTCTGCTCGTCGTAGTCGAGCAGCGGCAGCCTTCGCGCGTGGGTCTTGATCAGCAGCTCGCATGCGTCAAACACGGGCCGCAGCGGGTGCACGGACAGAAGCGGCGGAGGAGGCACGTTGAGGGCCTGCTCGATGTCTGCAGGTCGGGCGAACGGGCGAGCCGACGGGGGCAGTCCGAGTCAGCGATGTTCTGTGCGCTCCCTCTGCGCAGCGCGGAGCCGCCGGTCTTGGCCTTCCTCGTCTCTTACCTCGTAGCCTCTCGAGCCTGAACTTTTCCACGTCTTCGGCGGCCGAGTCGTAGCTCGAGTGGTGGTAGTAATACTGGATCAGGTGGATGATGTCGCTTACGGTCAACATGCCCGCGAAGCCGGACTCGGGGTACTGCTTCTTGGCCTTCTGCGGCGCTTGGGTCTTTGTCGGCGTGGCTGATGGTGCACCATCTTGCCCGGCGCTTTCCTGCTGCGTCTTTGGGCTGACCCGACCGGGCGAGCCGCTATCCTCGCCGGCCTGATCGCCAGTCGCTGCGTCAGGTTCGGCTCCTGGTGCATCGCCGTCGGCCTGTGCAGCTCCGTCCGCTGCTTCTGTGGACGTGGCGGGTGCATCCTGGGCGCCTTCTGTGGTTGCCGGCGTCGGGCTGTTCCCCGGCGCATCCTCTGTCTGCGAGCCTGCCGTGGCCTCCAAGGGAGCACTCGCCTTGTCGGACGTGGCAGCCGAAGTCGAGCCCTCTGGTTTCGCCGCCTGGTCGTGCTTTGCAGCGGCCTCGTCTGAATTCGCCGCCAGGAGCTCTGGGGGCGTCGACTGCCATAGCGGGGCGGACACGACGCCCGCCTGCCACATGACATCCAAGGCCGGCTTGACGACGAGCTTGGTGTCGAGGACGACCAGCCTGAAGCTGACGGGCAGCACGTCGTAGCTGCTCCTGCCCTTAAGAAAGTGGCGGATGGACTGTAGCGCCAGGCTGTGCCGATCCTTGGCCCGCAAGGGTCGCTCGCGGTCCTTGCCGGTGCGCGAGGGCCGGGAAGAGGTGGAAGCCCGGGTGCTGGCGTGCGACGCCATCGACACGGGCATATTGACGTGGAGCGAACCGGGCTTGGCCGCACTGGAGCTTCTGGCCCGTTGCGCGGCAGGGGCGTGGCCCGGCCGAGGCGCGGGGATGTCCATTGCTCAGGGATCGGACGAAGAGGCTGGACAGCGTGCAGTAAAATATGCTGCGGTGGTGTGCAGACGGATGCGGGCCGGGCCGAAGGGTCTGACGGATGAGCCGGCGAGGCGGATGGGCGGGTCGGGATCAAATGAAGGTGGGGTGCAATGCAGGGTCGCTTCGCTCTGGAGACGGGAAGATGATGGGGCTACGGCGGAGTCATCGGTGGGCGAGTCGTGGAAAGATGTGTGGCCTCGGAAGGGAAGTCAGGGCGGCGAAGGTGACTGCCGAGTGCTGTCGGTCGAGGCAACGGCGAGGCGGGCTGCTTCTGCCGTTGCGTCGGTTGGCGGTCGCCAGTGGCAGGGGCAGATGCGGTCGATGAGGGCACGCAGTGCAGGTGCTGTCTGGACAGTCTGCCTGGTCTGCGGCTCGCTCTGTGGCTGCTGTCGTCCGTACCGTCCGGTTGGAGTCGAGGCGGTCGGGTCAGGGCCGATGGCTGGCTCTGGCAAAGAGGTGGCAGGCGGGGTGGCTCGCCCGGCTCCCCTGTTGGTCGGACGAGGTTGGCGAGCAGGTGGCGAGAGGAGCGGTCGCTGTCCGGACCAGGAGTGCGTGTTTCGGGTCTTTGTGAAGCGCGGACGTGTGTGGTATGGTGTCGGTAAGGTGTAGGACGCGCGTGAGGATCGAGACGAAGGGGAAGGGGCCAGATGGAGATCACCTCGAAAGGAAAGGCGCACGCGCCGCTCACGCGATAGAGCTTTTCAGGCCTTGGCCCAGCTCTCGGGACGGCCAACGGGTGGCACGGTGTGTGCGCTGCCTAGCCTGCCTCTCTTTGGCCAAGGCCCGCCCGCCTGCCCGCATGGACCCTCTGCGGCAGGCCAGGCAGGAGCAGCAGCCAGGCGGGGTGGAGCGCCCAACCCCATTTTCAGAGAAGCCGGGTGCCAGCTGCCAGCCTGCCTGTCTGCCTGCCCGCCCTTCGAGCTGGGCTGACTCCCTCTAGAGCCCCGCACCCAGTCGCCTTCTTGGTTGGCTCTCCCCCTCCTGCTTGGCCTGCTTTCCTTTCCTCCTGCTTTTTCGCAGGCTTTTACAGTCCCCCCCTCTCTCTCAGGCTGGCCCTCCTCCCCCGCGTCCTGCACACGCACACAGGCCGGCCGGCCTGGCCAGGCAGGTGGTGGCTCGCGTCGAGCGTCGTCGCCTGCAGCAGTAGTGTCGTAGCGGACAGCGACAACGGCGCAGCAGCATGGACCTCGACAAAAGGCGAAGGCGCTTGACACCCTCCCTTGTTCTCCCTTCTCGAGAGCCAACCGCTCACGCCAGCCCAGCAGCGGCGAGGGGCGCCATGCTCGAGGAAGCGCAGGCCATGCTTGCCCCGCTCCCACCAGGACTTCCGGCTTCACCGTGCGACGGCACGACGGCGGTTGCTGCGGCATCGGGCCTGCCTGGCGACTCGCGCCGACGCCATCTCACAGCGATAAGCAAAGTCGACCGTGCAAGTCGACGGCGAAGGTCGGCGTCACATACATCTGGCTCGACAAGCGTGGCGCTGACGGTACCTTTTCAGGGTGTAGACAGGAGCGCGCGTGGTGCCTCTGGGCCCTTCTTGGCCCGCCCTGACCTGCCCCGCGGGTCAAAAGCAGAACCTCATGACATCACAGGTAGGGCCGCTTCTTGCCCTGGTGGTCGCGCCGAGGGCCGGCGACTTTTGCGAGCAGCAAAAATGGAGGCGTCCAACCTGCCTGCCTGTCGGGTGCATCCCGACCGAGATGGCAGCATCACGGCATCGTCCTGCCAGCTCTGGTCGCGACTCCGACTAGGAGACGGTGACGAGGCTGGAGAGGATGGCAGGCCTGCCGTCCCAGCAGCCTCTGCGACCGTCTCGGGAGATGCCGGGGATCTCGCACCAGCCACACTTAAGGAAAAGGCTGGGATACCAGCCTCATGACAACATGTTGCCGCCGTGGTACGATCTGGCTACCGCCCCTAGTCGAACGCGCTAAAGCGGGGTGAGCCGACCTCGTGTCTCGCATCATACGGATGGCGTGGCCAGCTGATGGCGAGAAACGAAGGCGGCCGGGACAATGGGCAGCGATTACGATGGCGGAGGTTATCGCCACGGCCTCGAGGCTTGGCCGCACGACGTCCTGCGAGCATCGGACTCTCGACCTTAGCTTTCGCCATCGCTCGACAATGGCGAGGCGGCTCTTCCGGCGGCTTGTCTGCCCTTCTCGTCGACGCTCATGCCGGTGCTCTTAGCCTGATATACGGAGCCAAGGGAGGGCAACGTTTGACCTGGCTTCTTCTGCCATGTTGCACGGTTTCGAGCTGCGCGCGCTCACAAGAATAGCAACCGGCGCTGCTCGATGAGGGTCGATGACACCATCTCGGACAAGCGAAGGACACGGGGGGCCACAAGGCTGTGGCGAGCGGGCGAGACGGACGCCCAGCTCCTCGCCAGCCACCTTCCCGCCGCCTGCCAGCATCCGACGGACTTGCAAACAGCTCGAGGCCGATGCGACTACCTACGTAGGTGGCTCGCCCCCTCGCCTTGCTTCTTCTGACAAGTGACGGCACCTTCGGCCTCCATATAAACCGGCGGGAAGAAGTAGCAGCACGCTTCCAGGCTCCCAACGCCATCGGCCTCTCACGAACCTAGCGACACCCTAACACCCTGACTCCCTGCTCTCGCCACGCACACACACACCATGACGACCTCGATCGACACGAGACCTTCGGAGCCCATCCGACAGCTGGCGGATACGACGCCGGACCCCGTCGCGTCCGACGACTTCCTGCGCGGCCGCGAGGAGTCGCTCTCCAACGCGCTCGGCAGGACGAACAACCAGAGCGGCGTCCACACCTCTAGCAATATCGGCACCGGCGCCAGCGCCAGCACCAGCTCCAGCCACAATGACGAGTCGGATGTCGAAGACCACACCGCCGCCGCTGCCGACGAAGGGGGCAACAAGTCCCTCGTGGGCGGCGTCAGTGCAGCCGCGGCGAGCGTCGGCGGAGCCGTGTACGCTGGCGCCAACAACGTCTTCCAGAAGGCGCCAGACCTTGGCCTCACCGCCGCCTTTTCGCGATGGACGGGCGTCGGAGCGCAAACGGGCCAGGACGACACCGCTGGATCCACACGGGACGATGCTGACTCGACGTCGACGGCCGGCAACGAGCAGGAGGGATCGACGACGGCAACGGCGGAAGCCAAGGAGGGCGTCGAGGAGGAACGCGGGCCATCGAACCCGGAGCGACTCGACAAGCCCCAAACGGCCGTCGGCACCGAATATGGCATTCCCACGTCGGCCGGTGCCGGTACGACGCTCTCACCGGACCTGACGGTACGGGAGGCGGCGGACCGCGAGAAGGAGCTGCGCGGGAACGACCAGGTCGGGGGCAAGAGCGCCGCCGTCGTGGGCCAGGATTACCGCGACCAGCCCTGCCCCACGGCCGATGCGGCGAGGGCCCACCCTACCAGCCAGCCAGCCGAGGGCAAGACGGACTTCGCCGACCAGCACGAACGCGAGCGTGGTCGGACCGAGGGCGAGGGCGAGGGCGACGTCGACTCGTCGCTGCGACAGAGCGGCAGCGGAGGCAAAGACTCGGAGAGGACCCTGGTCGACGACGATGCCGATGGAGACGACGACAGTGAAACGGCCAGGAGCAAGAGGTCGCTCGGTGCCAAGCTCAAGGACAAGATCAAGGGCGAGGCCAAGGTGATTGCCGGCAAGGTCAGGAAGGACGAGGATGCCGTGCTCGAGGGAAGGGCAATCAAGCAGGGCGTCGACAAGACCGAGGTGCGCGTCTAGGGGGCCACAACGGGCCGATGCGCTCTACCCATCCACGCTGGGATAACGACAGATACCCAATCCCTTGCCCACCACCTCCGTACGATACCGCTTTTACGAATGACCACGGTCTCGATCGTTTGAAGTCGAGCGTCTCGTCATGTGCGATGCATCCGCTCCCATCCCGCTTTCGAGCAGCGTGGGCGGCAGCGTCCTAGTCATCGCCGAGCGATCCGGGCATGGTGCGGCGTCCGCTCCTCGTCCGAACGCCAGCGGCGGCCGACTCTGCCGCGCCCTCGTCGTTGGCGGCGACGGTGGCGGCGCTGCTACTCCTCGCTGCGCGACCGCTGGCCGAAGTAGCAGCCGCCTTGCGTCGTCGAGGCGGCTCGTTTTCCTGGTTCTCGGTGTGCGCCTGCGACTCGGGCTCGACGCTCGACAGCCTGCTGCTCCGCCTGACGCTGCGAGACGACTTCGCCGCCGGCCCATTCGCCTTCTTCTTCGCTGCACCGCTCCCCGCTTTGCCGCCGCCGCTCTTGCTGGACCGCTTGGCCTTGGTCGTCGCGTTCGTGGTCGAAGGGAGCTTGCCCAGCCCATCGCGCTCCTCGTCCATCTCCTCGCCCACCTCGCTGATGCTGTAGATTGTGCTGGTGGCGTCCTGAGTGGCGTCGCCGTCGGTACGGGCCTGGCTGGCCTGGTCGTCGCCCTGCTGCGACTCCAGCTCGGCAGTGGCGGCGCGGGTGCGACGCGCTACCGGCCGCGTGTCGGCAGCGTTCGCCCGACCGCGCCCGGCGTGCTCCTCGTCGTTGGCGGCAAGGTTCGACAGCGTGAGCGGCTTGCGGTTGACAGAGGTGGTGGACCGCGTCTGGCGGCCGGCCGGCTTCAAAGCGGCTTCGCTTTGACTCCTCGGCATCCCGCTGGCTTTCGCCTTGGACTTGGACGTCGATCCTTTCGCCTGCGCCGCGCGTCTGGCACGACCTCCTGTGGCGGCATGGCGGTCGACCTCCCGGTCCATCGCAGCCTGCATCTTTTCGTCGTCATCGTCGTGGCTGGTCCCAACTTCTCCGAGGCTGACTCTGCCAGACACCAGACGGCCCACCTGCTTAGTGGCTCTGAGTTTGGTGCCGGACCGCCCCGTCCGGCCGACAAACGTGTCGTCAGCGCCAGCGTCGGCGTCGGTGTCGGTATCTATGTCCTGGTCCTGGTCCTCATCCTCGTCCTCGTCCTCATCCCCGTCCTCATCCTCGTCCTCGTCGACGTCGTGTGCTTTTCCCTCCTCCTCGTCGTCGTAGAGGTCGACGCCCCGTGTGGAATTTGGCCTGCGTCGGCCTTGCCTAGAGATGAGGGCAACGGCCCCCGTCAGCTTCTGCGATCCGTGCAGCGGCAAAGACGGCGACCGCAGGCTGCTGTTCCGGGGCGAGTCTCGTGACGATGCGACGGTGGAGGCAACGAACGGCGACGTGATGGCGGGGCGGAAGGGGTATGCCGACGCCGACGAGGAGCCGGCGCGCTGCGAAGCGTCCAAGCGTGCGATGAAAGCATTCGAGGGGATCTTTGGCTGGCCCGAGAACGGGCTCGTGGAGCTCAGCGGAGCCGCGTTGCGCCAGGGTGACTGCGGCGCAGCCGACGCGGTCTCCGCCGTCGAGGGCATTTCGGGGTCGGCCGCAGATTGCTGGGCCGTGCTGCTGGCGAGTCGGTAGCCAGGCTTGCTCGCGAAGGCCGAGGTGCTCGGGGCGAGCGGCTGGGAGCCTGCTACGACGCCCTGAGCGTCCTCGTCCATGTCGCGGTCGCCGTCAGCAGAGGTCTGGGCAGTTTGACGCGACGACGAGGCTTGGCCGAAGGCGAGTGAGTTGTTGGCCAGGAAGCCGACCTTCGGAAGGCTGCTGGAGCCCGGCGCCAAGTCGAAGGAGCGAGCACCACCACTGTCTTGCTGGCCCCGCGCAGGCGCTGATGTGGTCTTGGGAGACGAAGACGCCCGCACGACAGCCGAGAGCAACGAGGCCTGCGTGCTGGGGCTGCTGCTGTCCGTGCGGCGCAGGGCCGGAGAGGCGCTGAGCGGGGTCAGCTTGGACGCAGTGCCGATCGGCGAGGCAGGGACCGGTGCTGCGGCGCCGTTGGGACGAGGGACGTGCTCCCAAGACATCTTGAGCTCGCCCGGCTGCTCCTTGACTGCCGACGCGTCCACGGCCTCAGCCTGGTCCACGTCCACATGGTGGCCCGTGCTGACCTCGAGGGATTCTTCGATGCGGAGGAGCTCCTTTTGGACCTCTGGGAGAATCTCGCGCGCTCCCGCGATCAGACGCTTCCGCTTCTCGACCAGGCGTGATTGCTCGCCGCTATCGGTGCCAGAGGAGTGTCCCTCGCGTACGTCCGGTCCGAGGCGGCGGTCGAGGCGGACCGCGTCCATGTAGCGGCCTTCGTTGATGAAGCGGACGATGAGCACATCGGCCGCGATGTAGGCCCAAATCGCCTGCATCGAAGCCGGCGGCGAGAGCACAAACGTCTCGAGCCCGATCTCCTCGTCGGCATCGAGGAAGCAGCCGAGCAGGTTCTTGATGGCGACGGCATTGGGCGGCGCGAAGCAGTGGCGGAAGATGACGTCGAGGAGCCTCGAGCGGATGACGGGCCGGAGCTGCTCATCTTCCAGCTGGCCGGCAATCTCCCTGACCAGGACCATGGCCTTTGTCGGTCCGCGGACCCAGCAAGTCGCCTGTACCTCCATGTCGAGCTCTTCGAGCCGTTCCGCGCTCTGCGGCGGCGAGGTCGTGGGCTGCGTCGAGGTGCGCAGGAAGCGGAGCAGCAGGCGGGATCGTTCGAGCGGAGTGCGAGATCGCTGATGGTGCGATTCGAAATGCGGCGGCAGGAAGAGTGTGCGGTAGATCTTGGGGATGAAGTCCGGCGAAGTGAGCAGCGGCACGGCATCCTGCGAGCGAGAGGGAAGGGTGGACAGCGGAGGCGTCGAGCCCGCAAACGGTATCAGTCAGCGACGCCCGGCGAGGTCGGATCTGCCACATAGACGAAGAAAGGCCCTACCTCGTATCTCCCACGGTCCAGCAGCCAGTAGCCGTCCATGAGATCCTTGAAATGCGGCAGGATGAAGGAGCTGACTGCGAATGCGTCTGCCTTGGCCGATGCGATGAAGCTCTCCCCTCCATCCTGCGTATGCGTGCGGATCTCGCCGATGAATGCGTCGTAGTCCTTGAGGAGGTAGTAGACCAGGCTGGACTGCTTGAGGCTGTCAAAGGTGGATGTGGTGTAGATGGCCGAGAGCAGGTCGGAGAGGGCGTCGTGCGAGGTTGGAGGGTAGAGGCGGGTGTCGACCTCGGCAAGCAGCAGCAGCTCGTCGAGGAAGAGCTTGCCTCCCGGCAGCTGGGTTCTGCGGGCCTGGATGTCTTGGACGACGTCTTGTGGCCAGGAGGCCGATGTTGGCCCGGTGTCAGAGGGGCTGGGACGGAACCAGAGGAGCGACTCCTGCGTCATGGACTTGGCGAGGGCATCATCGTCGGAGGCGATGGAAGACGCCTGGCTGCTGGTGTCCATGTCGCGGCCCTTTGTGCGCTCGACGACGACAAAGGATCCGGAGTCGACAGAAGTCGCGGGCATGGTGCCGCGGATGCCGCCGGTTGCTGCTGGCGGTGGTGGGAATGGGCGACGGGCAACGACTGTGCAAGTGCGTGATGAGAACGTAGCCGAGGGGCGAGGTTTGGCGCGAGGGCAGAAGAGAGAGAGAGAGTAGTGTACCTTGCCTTGGCTTCCTCGCAGTAGTGGATGGCGGCGGCGAGTATGCGTGCAGCCGGGTGGAAGATGTTGGGTGTGTGGTGTTGGCAAGTCAGGTTGTGTGGTGTTGGTGGTGGGAACGTGATCGGCAGCGCGCTGTTTTTGGAGGAAGGGGCACGGAAGTCGGAAGGCGGCAGATGGACACCAGACAGAGAGGGTCGGGCCAGGCAGTGCCAGGGACAGGGACAGCCTGGGACAGCCTGGGACAGCCTGGGCATGGCGGCCCTCTCCGTGGAAAGCGGAGGTAGGGCGAAAGGCGGCGACCATCCAAGTGCCTTTCGCCCACCACCTTGCTGCTCTCCTCCTACATCTCCCAGCGGTCCACGTCCTCTCGCTCAGCTTGCAGAGAACAACTGCGGTCCTCGACACGACACGCCCGCATCGTCCTCTCCATCCTTACAGGTCGGCCGGCCAGCTAGCCCGCACGCTTTCTATCCATCCGCAGGTCATTGCGCCTTGCGGCGTTCCCCGTCTTCCCGCTCCCGCGGCTTCACCCAACGACAGCAAGACCGACGCGGACATCGACGATCCATAGGCATCCAAAGCCATGGAGCCCGCTCCGCTCTTTCGCTCTCCCAAAAGGAGGGTGGCCTACTTCTACGACAGTGAGCGTCGCAAACCAGCCAGCCCGGCCCAGCCGCCTCAAGCCGAGGCTTCTGGCCATCCCTTCCCCGCGAACCCTCTCTGACGCCTCTGCTGCTCCCCGATCCGCCTTGCACAGCTGATGTCGGCAACTTCAGCTACGGCCTGGGACACCCCATGAAGCCCCACCGCATGCGAATGGCCAACAACCTCATCACCAACTACCAGCTGCACAAGAAGATGGACGTCTTTGTGAGTACACGTCGGCGGCGGCAGCGTGGCCATGCGAACATCTTTGAGCGCGCTCGCTCAGCTTGACGGGTCCCATCTCCATCCATCGGATCTGCCGCGCATTCGCAGCGGCCGAAACGAGCCACTCCGGAGCAGATGACCCGCTTCCACACCGACGAGTACGTCGACTTCCTGCGCAAGGTCACGCCCGAGACTGTGCAGGAGCTCTCGGCAGAAGGCACACGATGTGAGTCTGTCGTGCAGGGAGTCGTACAGCCTCCCAGAAGGAGGCGATCCGAGCCGCAGCTGAAGCCATCGGTCCGCGTCTCGCTGTGCTCCTGCCACTCAGACCTCATCGGCGAGGACTGCCCCGCCTTCGACGGCCTCTTTGAGTTCTGCAGCATCTCTGCGGGGGGCTCCATTGGCGCCGCGTCGAAGCTCAATTCGGGCGAGGCCGACATCTCGATCAACTGGGGCGGCGGCCTCCACCACGCAAAGAAGCGCGAGGCCAGCGGCTTCTGCTACGTCAACGACATCGTTCTCGCCATCCTCGAGCTGCTGAGGTGAGCTTCTGCCACATCTTGCCTTGCAACTCCGGCTGTGCCGCGCCCACTCGCTGATCGCAGGCCTTCCCCCTCGTTCCCTTCTCCCGCGACCTAGGGTCCACCTCCGCGTGCTGTACATCGACATCGACGTTCACCACGGAGACGGCGTCGAAGAGGCTTTCTACTCGACCGACCGGGTCATGACGGCCTCGTTCCACAAATTTGGCGACTTCTTTCCCGGCACGGGCGACGTCAGGGACATCGGCGTCAAGAAGGGCAAGGGCTATTCGGTCAACGTGCCGCTGCGAGATGGCGTTGGCGACGAAGAGTTCAAGGGCCTCTTCCACCCCATCATCCAGCACATCATGGACTGGTACCGGCCCGGCGCCGTCGTCCTGCAGTGCGGCGCCGACTCGCTGGCCGGCGACAAGCTCGGCTGCTTCAACCTGTCGATGCGCGGTGAGTCCGAGCGCAGCCCGTCGTCCGCGGCACAGGGTCGCCCGTTGCTCGCTGCGCACATCCGCTGACTCTATCGCCCTTTCTCTACGCTCGCTGCATCGACCGCCTCGCACAGGCCACGCCGACTGCGTGTCGTTCCTCAAGTCGTTCAACGTGCCCCTGATATGCCTCGGCGGTGGCGGCTACACGGTCAGGAACGTGGCGCGGACCTGGACCTACGAGACCGGGTTGCTGGTCGGCGAGGAGCTCAGCGAGGACCTGCCGTTCAACGACTATATTCAGTACTTTGGACCCGAGTACAAGCTCGACGTGCCGCGGACCAGCATGGACAACCTCAACAGCAAAGAGTACCTGGACAATCTGAGGTGAGGACGGAGACACGGCACTGCCGCGACTGCCGCAGGGCGAGCTGCTGCTGACCCGAGGCTTGGTACCTTACCGCAACCCGATTGCCCCGCGCCATGCAGGTCCAAGGTCATCGACAACCTGCGTTCGATGCCGTTTGCCCCGAGCGTGCAGATCCAGGAGACGCCGCGCAACTCGATCAACCCCGCCGACGTCGAGATCTCGGACGACGAGGACTCGGACCTCGACGAGCGGATCTCGCGCAAGCTGCGGGACGCCCACATCCAACGGTACGACGACGAGCTCTCGGGCGACGAAGAGTCGGACCGGGAGCCGATGTCCGAGGACGAGGCAGAAGGATCGTCGAGGCGGAGCATATCGAGAGGTGCGGGCGCGCGAGCCTCTGCGCCGTCGATCCTCAAGCCGCTCGCTTCGTCGGCGGCGGCGACCTTCGACCACGACCTGGCGTCGCGCTACATGTCGCAGAACGGCGTCGGGGCGGCCAGGGGCAAGGGTAGAGCGAAGCGGACATTCTTTTCTCGTCGCGCCGCGGCGCCCGTGCTGGCCGACTTGCAGCTGCACGACGCAGACCATGCGGACGGCCCGGGGCCTGGCGGTCACTACTCGTTTGGACGATCGGGCCAGTCGATGACGACGGCGCAGCTGATCGCCGCTGCTGTCGGTAGCAGCCACCACGGAGGTCTGGCCGCCGACGGACGGGATGCGACACCGGCATCCGAGTTTGAGTCGGGCACGCCGGCGCTCAATAGCTCGGCGTACGGAGGCAACGGCAACGGGCCGAGAAGGGGGGCCAACGGCCATGCGCCAAACGGGACCGGCGGCGGCGGCAAGCGGCTGGTGGCGGGGGCTCACTGAGCGACCGCACCGATCGCTCTGCCGGCCTCGTCCCAGTGTCGTCGTCGTCGTCGTCGTCGTCGTCGTCGTCGTCGTCGTCGTCGTCTTCTCTCTGTCCCCGATACCAGCCTTGACCCTGCCGTGGCCCGCCTCTCGGCCGCTTCGGCGTCGATCTAGCTTTCCCTGCCCCTCCTCCTCCGCCTTCTCCTTGCCACCCCATGTATTTGTATGTCACCTTCGCCCATGCCTGGCACCGCTACGTCTGAGCCCTGTGCCGATAGATGGAACGCCGCGGCGCCGTATTCTCCGAGGCGAGGAGAGCGGAGTGTCTGCGCTGCTTTGGCGTAGGATTGGAGGCGAGAGGAAGCGGCTCCGTCGACGTTGGGCCTGGCGCCGTCGGTGGAGGAGGGGCCGAGGCTGTCCGTGCGCAGGCCAGCAGGCCGAGGCCCGAGCCAGAGAGGCCACTTCGCCTTTGCATGTATGTTTTTCGCCAGCGGCCTGCAAGAGCCCAGAAGACCACCATCATCCTGTCCACCAGCATTCGACCCAGCCCCGACCGAGCCAGAGCGGTATATACACGCACACATCTGCTCCCCTCTCGCCCCCACGACATCGACAGCATCGAAAGCATGGAGCCGACAAGAGCGCCCTTTGCGGCCGCTGGGCCCCAAGTCACACACCACCCGCACCCGTCATCCTCGGCGCGGGCTCCACCCATCGTACCTCGTGGCGCGTTCGTCTCCTCCTCTACCAGTAGCAGGAGCGGCGACAGCGGCACAAGCATCACCGCCGCCGCTAGCGGGACATCGGTCACTGGCCGGCCCAACTCAAAGACGCGCGGCATCGAGCTGGGCGGATGGTCGATCCAGGTCACCTCGGGCAACATCGGCTCGTCGGCCGAGATGGACGCCCTCTCTGACCTGCTCGGCATCCCGCCACCCGAGATGGCATTCCCGCACAACTCGCTCGTCCTGCACCACGCCGCTTCGGGCTTCCGCCTCTGCTTCGACGCCGTCAGAGCGCTGCAGAGCGTCGATGGCGTCAAGGAAGACAACGCGCTGGAGGGCATCGACTGCAGCGAGTCGTCATCCTCCTCGATCCCAGGACCAGGCACGGGTAAGAAGAGGGGCGCAGCGAGGATGGGCGAGAAGCCGACGGGAAAGGGCAAGCTCAGGAGCGGAGGCGGCATCAAGGTCTCGTACGCCGACGAGTGGGGCAAGAAGCGCAACGAGGCACAGCATGCCGAGGCCGCCCAGTCGGAGCACAACGACCGCAGCGGCACCGCTGACCGACCCGGAGAGCCGACGATGGCGGTCAACACCCCGGCTTCCAACTTTGGCCCTGATGTGGCCAGAGCGGCGGCGTCGAGCGGCATCGCCTCGGCCAAGGAGTACGACTGGACCTACTCTTCCACCTGGGCTGGCGCAGAGGGCTGCGATCGACCTCCAGCCCTCCTCTTCCCGTCCGGAGACGGCAGCGTCGCGGCAGAGGTCGAATGGAGTCGTCGCGGCGCTTCGGCGTCGCGTTTTGTGCCGGGAACCGATCCGGCGAGGGATCGCATCCCCGTCGAGCGCCTTGGCCCGAGCAGCGGCGAACCCATCCTGTTCTACGAGGACATTGTGCTGTACGAGGACGAGCTGGCGGACAACGGCTCAAGCATGGTCAACGTCAAGGTGGTGAGTGTGCACCCCTCCTCCCAGTCGCTCAGACTCCACTCTCGCCAAGTTTGACCGAAACTGATCTGCGGTGTGCACTCTGTTGCCATCGTCCGCTTCCGCCCATCAGCGCGTGATGCCGTCCGGCTTCCTCGTGCTGCAGCGCTTCTTCCTCCGCGTCGACGAGGTCCTTTTCCGCGTCTTTGATACACGATTCTACTGCCAGTTCACCGAGCCTGCTGCACCTTCCGCGTCGCGCTCGGGCGCGGGGACAGAACTCGACGTGACGCGCCTCTCGCTCGAAGCGACGAGCAAAGAGCCGCCGCAGGCTCGGACAGAGGCCGCTTCAAACGACATCAATATGATGGACGAAGAGGACCGGGGACCGCACGACGAGGGTCGATGGCCGAGGCTGATCCGCGAGTGCAGCGGGTCCGAGGCCACATACGCCGAGGTCAAAGCTGTGAGTCGAGCGTTCTTCGTGTCGCCTCATTACGTGGTCGCGCACGAAGCTGACATTGGTCATCTTCCCTTCCCCATCGCATACCTCGCCCTGCTTCCTTGCGGCAGTGTCTGCCGCCCTACAAGCCCAACGACCTGTCCCCGCTCACGGATCCGAACTGGGTGGCCAACTCGCTCCAGACCATCTCGCGACGACGCTTCCAGCACCAGCAGGCCGCGATCGCATCGGGCGCCACGCCTCGCATCCCAGCGTCGGCGTTCAGCTCCTCTGCCGCGTCGTCGGGAGCCGGAGCCGGTGCCGCCACCGGCCACCCCGGCTCGACGGGCTCGGCGACGACGATTCCCTCGTACCTCAGCACCGGTGCGGTCCCTTCGAGCCGGCTCACTGGGTTTGCCGGGACGAGACCGGGAGAGAGGCTGGATCTCTCGCCTGCCCGGGCACCAGGTTCGACCCAGTTCGATCTGCCCGGCTCGTCGGGGAGCGTACCGGCCGCCCGGATCGTTGGTGAGATTGCATCAGAGGGCGACAACGGCAGCAAGGATGCTCAGGGTGGGCATGGAGGGGAAATGGGAGGCGACGAGTGGCAAGGTGTCGGGGCGAGAGTCGATGTGGCCACGCTCCGGTGGTAATCTGGCCAGGGGATGTGGGGTACCCGTTGAGGATCCCCGTCCTCATCCTCATCGCAAGGCAGGCGTGGCGTCTCGGTGACAATCATGGTGCATTCGGCGGCACAGGTCCAGGTCCACCCTCATACGATGCTGCGGCTCGATGCGATGCGATACAGACGACAACAGAGGCGCCGCACACGCGCCCGCTCGCTACTTCCTCGCCCTCCTGGCCTCGTTCGGGTTCTTGCGTCCCATGCCGATTGCGGGCAGTCCGCCCGTCTTGGGCGCCGAGTCGCCGTAGAGGAACATTTCGCCGGCGTCCCACGCCTCTTCGTAGCGCATCGAGAGGCTATCTTTACCCTGTTCGAGGGCCCTCTGCCTCCTCCTCTCCTCCTTCCTCTTCCGGCTCTCCTCGAGCGCCACGGCCCGCTGCCACTCGACCTGGTCCTCGCGGAGGATGAGGTTGGACCCGGACGTCTTGCCGCCCGATGCGCTGCCGGGCTTGGGCAGCGGCATGCTGTACACGGTTCCGCGCTTGCGGTATTCGAAGTTGGGCTTGAGGTGCACCTTGAGCCCGTCGCCACCCTTGCCGGCATCGCGCGTGTCGACCGAGGCCGTGACGCGCATCAGGGTGGCGTTGCCGCAGCTCGGACACCACTTTTTCTCCATGTCCTTGCACACCTTCATGCAGGCGTGGCAGCGCAGCACGTACGACTTGACCTGCGAAATCTGCTGCCCGTTGATGCCCACCAGCGCCAGGCCGATCTGGAGCAGCACGTTCTGGATGGCGAAATCGCCCGTCATGCACGCCACGGCCAGGTGCTGCGGCTGCTTGGCCTTGCTCTTGGCGCCCGCCGCTCGCCCGGCGCCAAAGGGCAGGTGGTGCGAGCGAGACTTGCTGCGCGCGCTGCTCTCCTTGTGCGGCCGCGAGACCGTCTCCCAGCCCCTTGGGCGGCGTCCGCCGTCGGCCTGCGCCTGC